CCCCAAAACCCCAAAACCCCAAAACCCCAAAACCCCTTAAATAAAATAATTCTTAAATTTTACAAAAATGAGCCAAAACAGTTCATTCACCAGGTGAGGCGACACTTGTTAAGGAAATTTATATGAATTTAGGAGGCCATTTACTCGTTTCAAAGCTAAAAGTCCTGACAAGTACTACCTCTCAAACAAGTTCATGCTTGACATTAGCACAATGAATGTTCCGACATCGGTTGAAAAGTATTTTACTTGCAAATTTTGATAATAGCGTAAAGATTTCACCAGTCTCAACGAAAAGAGCTACCAAGGCAAAGTATAATAGCATCGAGAAACTAAGTAATCTCCTCTTTAAAGCTGTGATCATGATTTAGTCGAACACAAACTGAAGTTGCTTGCTAAGGATCTCTATCAAGAGCTTTACGATTCCCTCTCAAAAAATTTCAGCAAAAAGTTTAAATGTGATAGGTGCTTTCAATCTAAAACCAAGTATGTAACTCCAGAGAAGTCCACAAGGCAAGATCAGGTCAGGAAATCAGTCACAAATAACAGAGAAAAGATGATTCCAGATGATGTCTTTGATAAATAAGTCCTTCTCTGGTTTCAATTCTTTCAAGGCAAAAGGTAAATCTTCACACAGGATTTTTGAAAATGTTAATTTATCACAAGCCTTACTGGTTTGGTGACCTAGAAGTAATGTATCAATACAGATGAGATGATTTGTAGCAAAAAGGCAATCCAGAAGATATCTGTGAACAAACTTCCTTGTAATTCTGCCAAAAAAGTCCCAAAATCTGCCCAAAAAGCTAAAAACAGGATTAGTATTAACTTAGCTTCCTTGTCATCATGCAGAGGAGATGTTCTTGATGATAAAGATCATGAACAGACTAACCCATCTCTGATGACTGAAAATAAACCTTCATTATTTTCGACTAGAATAGTTGAAAGACAAAATTATAAGCCACTTGACTTATCAGATAACGCAGCGGATCCTCATGAGAAGTGTCATGAAGCACCCTGTGGCAACTTGTGACCCAAATTGCCACCCCAATCTCAAAGAGAGATTATATTTGAGAACTCAGGATATCGTAAGGCTCACAAGAAATCTGCTATCTCTATATCTGTAAGTCCTTGCCCAGCATACAAATAAGGGTTTTAAGTCAAAATTCTCACCTAGAAATATTGCTTGTCTAAATAATCATAAATGTATGCTATAGAGCACTCACATTGGCCAACTTTGTTTGAAAAATGGGCAAAAGACCTTCTCTGTAAAAAGAGACATTCAGGACAAATAAATACGCCATCGAAGCCGACTGGTGGCACCAGTGGTGCGATTACGTAAATCTAGAGCATTCAGAGCAACAAGTAATGCTAAAATTGATGAAGAACATCCCACAAGTTCAGAGTTACGAAAATTTAGCATTTACTAAGCACCAAGGAGACGAAGATTCCATTGGTACCTCCTCTTGTGTAACAAAATAGACTCTGAAAATATCACCTCGATTGTAGAAGAGATTGGACATATCTACAAAAACAGTAATTTTCAGGCTAAAATTTTAGAGAAAAAAAGTAAAATCTCATGAAAATTGCCCAACAGAAGCAGAGGCGTTCCTTCAGATTACATTATGCAATTAAACACTGAAGATCTATATGAAAGACCTGGTGAGATCTGTAACCAGAAGATAGCAGCAGTCGATGAGAAAGGTCAACTATGCATCAAAAATGATTGCTGTGAGTCATACGACTACGTCCTAGTGAACATAAACACCTGGGATTATCTCAAGAGATGGTACAACTACGACATTGAGCTAGAAGTTAAATAAATATCGTCAAATGTGCAACTCATAAATCATAAAAAGGGGTTTTGGGGTTTTGGGGTTTTGGGGTTTTGGGG